TGGAGGAGTTGCTGTGTCTCTGCACAGAACGAGTCGTGGGAAGCTTCTTACCTGTTTTGCTTTTGCAGCCGTTAGTTCCCAGCCTGCTGCCCACGCGCGGGAACCCCTGTAATTGGGTACTACATGGGGGGGGGGTTTGTATACGAATGCCCTATAACCTATTATGCGCACAGATCACCCGCCATTCCTAACAGTGTTCATGTTACTGCATCTATAGCTTTTCAATAAAAGTAAAACCTTCCTGGAAGCATGTACTTCGTTGTTTTGCTGTGGGTCCTGACAGCTGCCTGTTTCGTAGACACTGAAAAGTGTCATGGAAAAAGCATAGGAACTCTAGAGGTGGCCCTTGGCAAGCCCAGCATGATGAACCCTTGCTCTTTTGACTACTCCATCTTGAAAGCTACAGAGCCATGGAATATCCAAGTAAAAAGTCTGAAAAAAGCAAACACAGCTTAGGGAAATGACCACTGTACATTGCCTTGGTCAGGCTGCACCTGGAGTACCGCGTGCAGTTCTGGAGGCTTCACTTTAAAAAGGATGTGGGCAGAGGAGAGAGACGGGGACGATCAAGGGCCTGGAGACCAAGCCCTATGAGGAAAGGCTGAGGGACTTGGGGATGTTTGCTCTGGAGAAGAGGAGGTTGAGGGGGAACAGGATTGCTCTCTTGAAGTCTTTGCAGGGCTGTCCCTTAGAGGAGGGCAGGGAGCTGTTCCTGTTGGCGGCAGAGGAGAGGACTCGCAAGAAGGGGTTTAAATCAAGGATGGGAAGGTACCGGCTGGATATTAAGAAAAACTATTTTACAGTTAAGAGTTGTGCAGCATGGAATCAGCTGCCTCGGGAGGTGAACCCCCCCCCCCACTGGCAGTCTTTAAGCAGCGTCTGGACAAACACTTGTCAGGGATGCTCTGACAGACACCCCGCACACCCCCCCCCCCCCGAGGCCACGGCCCTCCCCTCTGCTGAGGGTCGCTCCATCTCTCTCTCCCGCAGGGCCTCCCCCTCCCCTGCCCAGCTCCTTTGCATTCTCCTGCGACTGCTCTGCCTTTGGACTTCATCCAGCTAGCTAGTAATGCAGGTCGTTGTCATCGCCCCCTCCCCCAGATGAATTCATGGCAGGAGCTGCTGGTAAGAGGCGGGAGGGGCTTCTCTTGGGTGTTTCCCACTGCAGCATGTCTGGCCTCCTCATCCCCTTCGCGGGGCAGTCTCTGGAGGAGACCCGTCGGAACTGAGGCACGGGGCGGTGCGTGTTGAAGGGCAGGGGCAGGAATTGGGAAAGAAGCCACCTGGGCTGGCTCTTGCCCATGATGGTCTGGCTCCAAACAGAAGCAACAAGAAGGGTGTTGTCGAGTTCCAGGGCAACAGACTCTGTTATATGGGTCACGTGAGACGGCTCTGCTTACAGAGAGTAAAGAGAAGAACAGAACGACCGGCCGTATACCTCCCACGCAGCCGGCAGTACCCGAGCCTGTTCCAGAAGTCAGTGGTCTCAATCAAC